GATCCACAGAGATGCATCGAGCTTAAAAATGACTTTGGAGAAAAAAACCTGTTCAAGCTAACTCATTTTTTACTGGTATATTAAGTGACATCAAAACAGGAAGGAAGTGGTAAAGTAGTAAAGCCTGCTCTTGCTTGATTTGATTGGCTGTCTGGGCCAAGTATGACATTGATGTGAGCTGCAACGTTGAGATTATTTTAACTTTTATGCATGTCTAAAAACAGCTGGAAACCCCAGGAACGCTGTGCGATGTGTCTCTTTGGCTCTTATATCCCCAGTCACTCCCTGCTCAGCACCAAACAGCAGACTAAGGTAGCAACCAGCAGGTGAACATAGTGGCGCGTGTAGCAGAGTCTTTGTGCAAATAACTGATTGCTAACAGTTCGCCATTCGAACTTGATCATATGTCAGTGTTTGTGTGTCCCAAACATCAGTTACTGCAGGTTTAACCCTCTGAGCTGACAGAGTGAAAAAAACAGCAAAGTTGTGGGCCGGACGGCCAAACAATGAACTCTCCATAAAGGAGAACGGAGCTGCAGATTCAGGTGATAATTCTCTGTATGAGTGACACCTTTTACATTGTTTCCTGATTGTTATCATAAAAATACTGATTACAGCCACTTTAAGTACATCACTTTAATATATAAATCACCTTAGGATAAATATCTCATATCTTTGTCTTTAATTGTCCAAAATGTCAAATTATATATGAAAGTAAGTAAGCTATTAAATATAAAGAGGTCAGTTTCCTTGACCAAACAGAGCTCAGTGTTCATACTACAACTCAATGACCCCTCCTAGATAAAAAAAATATGAACTTCATTATAAATAAAGTCCTGCTGTCATTTTTGATACACAAACATCAGAGAAAAATCAGAGAAAATGCACTCATTCATAAAAACACATGTTCAAATATTCTCAGACACGCCAAGCCCCTTTGCCCAGACAAACACTCATGTACACAAACACACACACACACACACACACACTCTTTAAATACACAAGCAGACTAATCAGGCGACCTTCCCTCCTTTTTCCGGCCGTGGTGATGTTAAGCTGGCCGAGCAGGTAGAGTACACAATCAGACTGGCACGGGATCAGACAGCCCGCTTCCTCTATCAAAGGTCATCACTCTGTTAATTACACCATCCATAGCTGACTCACACTGGGATTGTTACGCAGCGAGCAAAGCGGAAACAATGGACGCATTATAAATCATTGAGTCCATATTAAGTATGTGGAGGGTTGATGAAATACACCTGGCTCGTGCCAAAATGAAGATTATGTTTGTTGTAGCAACAACAAATGTCATGGTGACCGGAGGGGAAAGGGCGTGAGTGTCTGTTGTGGCAGAAGCAGATGTTTGAAGGAATTTTCAGACTCTGAGATGTTAAACTTTGTTGAACGTGCAAACTTTTGATGGGAAAAGACAGAGGGACGAATGTGAAAGCAAGACGAATACACATTAACAACATACAAAAAGTCTCCTCTCTCTTTCTGTGATGAGTTCAGGTCGGTCCAGCCAAGAATTCCTGCTTGGCTCGGACTCTCAGGAAGGACCCTTTTATGGATCCTGGCCCTCCATCAGGTCACACACTCTTCCTCTTCCAGAGGGCTCTGCGCACACATAAATCAAACACGCTCCCAGCGCTCCCCACCATTATTTGTGACATCTATCTGGATGGGCAGGCGCGTTGCAGAGGATGTGGTCGTTCACAAAAGCCCCGCCAGGCCAGAATCCCGGGCCAGGGGAGAGGGGCGGAGGCTGGGATACAAACAAAATGTCTGGCTGGGATGATAATACTCCCCAATGCTGCTGGGTTTTTTTCCCTTTGACAAATGAAAGCCTTAAACCTTGCTGGGAAGATATAGGAAGCTACAGAAGTCCAAGTTTCCTGGAAGTTATGTAGTTTGTTGTAAAGTTTTAACTACAAGTTCCCTGGATATAAAACAAGGGAATGAGTACATTCATGTGGACCTATACAGCACACAAACACTGATTCATATAGCATGCTGCGTATCTGACCTAAAGACTCCGTAAATGAAGAGTGAAGTGCTGCAAAACCTTTAAAATTCACTGTAATTTCCAGGAAGAGTGTGTGTGTGTGTGTGTGTGTGTGGGTGTGGGTGTGGGTGTGTGTGTGATTGGCAGAGGAGCCAGGCTGTTGGAGGGATGTTTAATTAGGTTAAGGAGGTGCAGCAGGGACGACAGCCAACTGGAGTTACACACCCTTGTCCTCCACACACACACACACACACACACACACACACAGACACACACACTCACACACACACACACACTCGTAGACACGCCACTTCTTAAATGTATCTGGCTCCTCGGGCTCAGCAGAGTGTGTGCATGTACAAACCTGGAAAACTATAGAAGTTTCCAGTTGCCACCTGCTGCTGCGCTCACTTTTCATTACTCCTGAGTGAGAACGCACAGCACAAATTACAGCGACCTTTCATTTATTTCTGGCTCCTGTGTTTCTCTGACAAAGCAAACCGACGTGGAAAACACTGAGGGCCTTTATTTACCCGTTCAGCTGTAGTATTTAGCTTCCTGTTTCTCTTCTCATACACAAATGAAGACCATTCCTTTGATTTACTGTAACATCGGGCAGTCTCTTAATCTACTGTTTCTCTAACCTTAAGGTGAATCATCCTGCATGGACTGCAGTCATCTGGGGCAATAGCAGATCCCTTAGCTGTGCTTCAAATGTAACCTAGCATGGAGACATCTGCCTACACACAGTAGGATAAATATAACCTCCTTAAATGCACCAAACTTGGCATATTTTATGGTGTAATTTACATTAACACATCCTGCCCCCCCCCACCCCTTTATTGTGAGCAGAAAAGAAAATTGTTGCTCCAGTTGGATTTCAATATAAGTTTGCCCTCAAGTGTTGCATTTAAACCCACAATTGTGTTGCATTAAAAAAACAAAGGCTCTTCCTTTACTTCCCTGTAGTGCTGCTGAGTGTTTTTTAACTTTATGCAGCGGACTGTAGACTTAGGACACAATTTGGGACAACTGCTTGTTTTTCTGGACATCTGCTCCCCGTTTGTTCCGAAAATTAAATCTTATAGTCTTTATAGATAATATAAAGGATGCTGTGAAAGGAAGCTCATTTCCGCCAATGTGACGAATAAAAAGGATTCTGTTAATAATGTATAAAATCTGAAGAAATGAATGAATGAATCTGAGATACTAACTCAATATTTTGAGAAGGTTTCTCATTATTAAGTTTTAAGAGGTGGAGCTGAAAGAAGCCTGGTTACTGAAAACATGCACAATTATTTTATGTAAAAATCCCCCTGTTTTTGGCACTTGGGTTAGGGGTTAGGGGTTAGGG